CTGCAACGGCGCGTCGAATGGAAGTTCATTCCCCCTGGCGCACCCAACCAGGGGGGAGCATGGGAGCGACTAGTGCGGTCCGTCAAGACAGCTCTAGCCACAACGCTGCACGAGAGGGCACCGAAAGAAGAGGTGCTCCATACGCTGATGACCGAAGCCGAACACGCGGTGAACTCACGACCGTTGACCCACGTATCGGTCAGCCCGGCCGACGCCGAAGCCCTCACACCGAATCACTTCCTCCTAGGAACATCATCAGGTCTACCACTCACCGGCCCCTGTCGACCCTGCGACAGGCGCCAATGGCGGGCCACCCAAGCGCTCGCCGACAGTTTCTGGCAGCGCTGGATGAAGGAATATCTTCCGACGCTGGTACCGAGGGGCGAAACAAGAAAAGAAGCCGCACTTCGAGTAGGCGATCTCGTCATCATCGCCGACCCGAACTCACCGCGCAACATCTGGCCCCGGGGAGTAATCGAACGCATCTTCCCCGGGCCCGACGGCGAGATCCGAAGCGCCGACGTACGCACCAGAGGTGGGCTGTTTCGGCGACCAACGAGGAAGCTCATCGTGCTGACCACCGAGACACTGGACACATTATCCGCACCTCCCCCGGACCAGCGGGGAGGGACGCGCTGCGATCCTGAGCCTGGCGAGCCGTCCGATCCGGCGAAAGGGGCTCCGAGCATCTCTTCGAGCGTCTCTTCGCCGGGGGGAGAACTGTTACGGACGGCGGACATGAAGACCCTTCCCCGCGACCTCACCCCCGCAACGAGTGGAGGGGGCACACCACGGGCAGCAGCGACGGGAGCACCCCCCCGCGACCTCCCCGCCGCATAGTGGAAGGGGCACCGACATAACATGAATCTGTTAGGTCAATTAACGCGTTAGGATAGTAGCTAAGTGCGAACGAACAAATCCCACTTAAGTAAACCCGATTTGTATGAAAGCATGCCTACGAACGTTTTCGTACTTTGTACTGCAAATAAGAAGAAAGAATAAACGCCTTCAAATCTCCAAACTGTTGTTTCCATCCCCAACAAAAGGTGTATTAGATGGGAGTGTTTTTCACTTTGATGAAAATCGATCCAAGATGGCCGCCGCCACAAAATGTCGGATTACATATTTTATCACCATTCCATCAATATGGGTATCAAATAAGAGGGCTTGAGTAGTAGAATACTGAACACTTTGACAAATTTCAAATCCAAAATGCCGCCACCAAAAATGTTGGATTACCTACATATTTCTCACGACTCTCTCAATACGGACATCAAATAAAAGGGCTTGAGAAGTAGAATACTGTTTACTATGACAAAATTTTATATACAAGATGGCCGCCGCCACAAAATGTTGGATTATCTACATTTTTTGTCACGACCCCCTCAATACGGATTTCAAATATAAGGGCTTGAGTAGTAGAACACTGAACACTATGACAAATTTCAAATCCACGATGGCCGCCGCCACAAAATGTTGGATTGTCATGACTCCCTCAATACGGATATCAAATAGAATACTATAGGTACACTATGACAAATTACAAATCCAAGATGGTCGCCATCATAAAAGTGCGAAATTATATAATAGGTACAGACAGTCACATGTGGGGTTACCACAATTTAACACTGAAATAATTATTCAAATCGGACGAGTAGTTCCTAAGATTAGGGCGTTCAAGCAAGCAAGCCCACAAACAAACAAACTCTTCGGCTTTATAATATTAGTATAGAGTAGCCATTGAAAGCGTGAAGTTATTTGAACTTATATTATTATACGGTATAAGTTAGATTTAAATCGGTGTAGCAGTTACAAATTAAGAGGGGGGAGGGAGTAAAAGTAGGGATGACCAATGTTATAGCTATTCTAATAGAATTGAGTCCCATCTTAGAAACTAGATCTGAAATACCTAAGATAAATACCTAATTATATAACTATGAAATACTTGTACGAAAGTAGAAAAATTAAAAGAACTAGAAAAAGATAATCACCATATTAGCTGAATTGCAACTTGCAAGAAAATTAATCAAAAATGAAGTACTCTAAAAAAGCATGAAAAAATAAATAGTTATATTAAAAATTTAAAAGACCACCGACACAATATAATAAAACAATAAAGTAAAAAGCTAAAAAAAATAAAAAAAAACTATAACTTAATTGTCCACAAATAATGCAAAAAGGGAAAAACGTGAAACCCTTTAAAAAGAAAAAAATAACCTTGACATTATGACCCTACATAATTACAGACAACAGCATGTCGGACTATTTCACTTTGAACTTTGCGCTAATATTGAACTGCAAGTATAATGGCGAACATCGCCGCTCTTTCACCACTTTAAGGCCAATATCGCTTGCGTTTAAACTAATTGGTGATTGGTGGTGCTAAAGCATATATATTTTCAATTAATGATTAATCTACCAAGTAATCCGTACTGAGCACGCGCCCAGTACAGATTACTAGGTCGTCCTAAATCGCTCCACTAAAAAAATTGACCACCCATCCGATTGCCGGCCTTTGCAATCGTCGCTTTACCTCCTCAATCGCAGATCAAACGAGCTATCCGGCACCATCGGGCTTTTCATTTGTTTATATACAGATATTGCTATTTTTTTAATTAATATTTATATTTTTATAGATTTATTATCATCGCTATTTATATTTATAGCCTATGATTTGGCTAAACTTGTTTCTTTTAATTTTTGTCCGATCTTAGTAGTCGTGTTTTTAATTTTTAAATAATTATTTATATTTTATTCCTAATAATAGCAGCTAATTTTGTATAGAGATAATATATTTTTAATGGCGTCACACGTCCCCATACCTATTTAATATTAATAAATAAAGCTAGTTTCACTGATACTCTATGTATTTTGTGGTAACTTAGGATGATGTTTCTAATGATACCCTATACATTCATGTATATCCGTTTTATCTTTCAAAAGTTATGGTGTAATAAAAAAAACTCATATATACATTAATTCTAAAATCAAAAGACTCCTTTTCGAGAGCAGTCGTGTTAAAATATTCGGGAATCGATAATGAATCTCACCATAGAAATACTAGAATAAATACAAAAATTGGGAAAAGTATCAAAATAGCTTGAACGTAGTATCAACACAGTATTGTGGACTCGTGACTTTGAACAAGTTGTCGAGAACTCAGAACGCTTCAAAATACCTAATCTCACAGAGTGAAAATTTGTCATATGGCTTTTAAGTACTTTTTTAAATCATATATTTGACTTTTAACAAAGTACGAAATCTTATATTTTCTATTCGACTTCAAGGCCATCTCTGAATTTGTAGTTTCAAGGTACAATTTATTAGTGTGTGCGTGCGACTACACATACGCATACGCACGCTCAGATACAAACCGTTTTCAGTACGTATGTATGAATTCAATCCCAACTAACATTACAGCTACAAATAGAGCTTACTTTAAAACCTAAAGTGTTATAAAGGTTGTTTAGTAGCTGTAATTATAGGTTGTAGTGACAAAATAGAGTAAGTAATAAAATGTAACGCTTATAGTGACACAGCAAGTCTATAAGAGCAATGTATGGAGGCTAAAGGCGTACAACAGTGATTATTATCCCTACAGTACAGACCAAAGCTTCTGTGTTATAGCTTTGAGCGATTCTTACCACTATAAGATCTACATAAGAAATTATTAATAATTAATTACTATTCTCCTCAAGTTCTACGCCAGCTATTAAAACTCATTTGTATCACTGATAGTTGAGTAAAAGGAGCAATCAACGCTACTAGCTCAATAAGTCTGTTTCTTAACTCTTTTATAAAACCAAACCCCTAATGGGATCTTAGCTCCTGTGTATAACTTAAGGATGTATATATGAGGTATTTCCCCCTATTAATAGATCCCATAGTGTCAACTATAGTTTCTATATTAACTTAAGTTGCATTTTTGAGTTTATTACCACTTAAATAACTCTATTGGGTCACGTGTTCGCTTATGTGAATCGATAAAATGGCGTCGCAACCTAGCTCGAATAAAAATTACTTTAAAAGTTGAAAAACTTATGACAATGAAGTTATTCCTCTTTCTAGCGTTTTGATAACAGGTTCATGACATTTTTAAATCAATAGGCAAAGTTTTAAACATATTCATTAAATTTTTATTAAAAAAATGTTTTGCTTTACTTGAAGTGAAATATTTTTTTACATTAATACATAACTAAGAGTGGGCCCCTTAATTATTAGCTTATAATATATAGCCACATTCACAGTAAAGTTACTTTCGCAAGAAAATTCCGCTTCAGTTTTCCTTTAACAAGTTAAGATTTCACCATTTAACTTGGCCCTTTTTTCGTAAAGACCATTAGTATGGAGATTAGGTGTAGTAACAATTTAAGGTTAAGGCAAAACGTAATGTTAAGCTTTCTAGAAAAAAAGTAAAAAACTATGTCTTTAAGCGTTAAAATTTCCTATTGTAGGTCTGTACTGCAACTCAAGGTGTTATAACCTTAACTTAACCTTATTGCCACCCTATTACCGCTTAAAGAGTTAGTAAGATGCATCTTAGATCTACTATAAACCTTACGGAGTTAATATTCATATATTTTGTAGCTTCCTTTGTAGCACTCAAAGGTCTGAAGGTAGCCTGTAGCTCTATTATATAACACTTGAAGAATCACTAGACACTTAAATACTTCTTTTATAACGCTTTAGGACTCAGTAGCGCTTATGTACCTCCACAATTACTATACTATATCTCTTAAATGCATTCTGTAACTCTAATATATCGCCATAGTGGTACCTAAGGTCATAGAATTTTTGTACCCAATCCAGGGGTAAAGTAGAGTAATAGCTTCCTATAACATGTGATAGCACTTATTGAACACCATAGGATCTGTTTAGCTCTTTTGTAGATCTGTTCTAACTCTTATGTTAGCACCTAATGTTACTTGGGATGTACTCCAAAATACTCTGACAATACTGTGTTACTATTTTGATACTTTTTCCAATTTATGTATATTGTTTTAATATTTCTATGGGGTGCTTCGTTATCGCTATTACAAAATGAATGAGCTGGGACATCGGTGTCAGGCTTCCCCTGTGCAGGTAGAAACTTCATTTGCTTGTCTACGAGAAGAGTTTCAGGAATTCAAAACGGAAATGTTGTCTGTTTTAGAACTCCTACGTAACCAAATCTCTGTACTCTGCAAGAGTATTGACGACATTGAAATGCGGCACAGAAGAAAATATCTCTTGGTGGGTGGCATTCCGGAGGACAATAACATTGATCTCACTGATACTGTTGTCAGCTCATTGATCAATAAAATAGGGCTAGCTTTGTCAGTAGAGAAACTCTCCGTTTGCGTCCATCTTGCTAATATCGTGGAGGGACAGTGTGGGCCTGTTATGCTACGCTTTACCGAGCCTTCCCTTAGGGCTACTGTCTGGAGCATGAAGACTGCTCTTAAAGGTACATCTCACACTATTTCCGAGTTCCTGACTCGTTAGCGGCACTTGGTCTTCATCAATGCGCGTAAGAGTTTTGGTATTAGACGCTGTTGGACAATGGACGGGAACGTTATAGTGAAGCTAAAAACAGCTCCAGGCAGCAAATATTTACTGAGGGCGACCTCTCTTCTCTCGCTACAACACAGGATGAATCCCATCATCAGGCAGCTGGTCCAAGTCTTGCGGCAACGCTGTCTTCTCCAGAGTTGCGGGCAAAACCAAAGGGGCGGTCAGGGTGAAAAAGTAATGTAATATGTATCTCTTTTGAGTAGCTTGCTAGATCTTTCAATTATTTTGACAAATTATTTCATTCAGATATTTTATTTAAAGATTCATTAATATATATAAATATTTTATTAACTATCGGCACAAAGTTTTCATAATAATAATGAATTGTTTAATTATTTACAAATTGAATTGCATCATAGACGTCAAATGTTGTTCTTTTTTTTTATTGCTGTTCTTAATTCAAGGCAACGGGATCAGTTTTTTTTTTAATAATATTGTATCGTGTAAATGTTTAAAGCAGCATTGCCCTTAGTTATTTTTTTTTGTGTGTGAATTGTCGTTGTCGTCTTATTTCTTTTTGTTTATCTGTCTTTAGTGAACCGGTAGGACAAGCAATTTGATTCTGGTTAAAACAGGTTTGTAAGTTTATCATATTATTATTGTATATAATATTATACTAATATATTACAATATTATACTAATATTATTAGTTTTGCTATAAATTTTTGTTCACAAAGTTTTACTTCCGTTATCATAGATGTCGCCTTAGGTGTGTTATCCAATTCCCAGAAACATTAAACCAATGTATTTAACTTGGTATCGATACTAGATGGTACAGACGATGTAAGTAACGCCGTATTAGGACTTAAATTCGTTTTTCCAAAGAGTAGCCAACCGAATAACGATTTAAAGGCGATAGGTTGATTTTGACCACCCTTGATTTGTTGACCTAACAGCGAGTCGGCGAAATCATCAGCAGCAAACAGCATGTCGACTAGTTCGGGAATATCGAAACTAGGATCAGCTAACGATAACGATTTTATATGTGATAATTTTTGTGTGTGACCTTGATGTATTTAATTTTGGATTAAATGGATGGATTGGTCGCTACGAATTCTTTTAATTACTTGCATATTTAAGTTAAAAATTATTTGATTATCTACACCTACGCTACAAATGACGTTACCACTAATGGGACCAACCGCTTATGGGAGTCCGCTAACACTAACAGAAGAGTGACAAGGTACCAATTGCAAACGTTTAACAACCGATTCTGTAATAAAATGACTTTGGCTCGCTGAATCAAATAATGCGCGCAAGAATTGCATGTTACCATAAGCATCCTTCACCAGCACAATAGCAGTCACGTGCAACACTGTAGACTTCGTATGAAATTATTGTAAGCCGACAAAATAAATTAAGGGCCGTTAAATAGAAGTGATTACTTAATTTGAGATCTTACAGTAATTCAAGACAAATCTCAGCCGATAATTGCGATATGAACCTCGTCGGTGATATTTAATCTATTTAAGGTAGCCCGTAAGTATGTAGGTACTGATACCGAACAATTTTGATTTGGAAATTCTAATTGAAATTGATTTACTCAGCAACCAACAACCGACAGAAATTGAGATAAATTGATTTACCGATCACAAAGTACTTTTAACCAGAAATACGACGCATAAATTATGGTATAGTAAGAACACGTGCTGATGGAACCCGTCCCGGGTTTCGGCGCCAGAAAATAAGTAGCAGTCTGACCTTACACAAAAGAAAAACGATTGATGGCTTTCTACTATAGCTGGGTCAGACCTGGATAGGTCTGCAGATGGGATATGCGGTTGTATGGGATATACGATGTTCAGATACGGTTGAAAGATACGTAGCAACAAACTAATTTGCACCCACGTACCTTGAGAATATCAATGACGAAGTCCACCTGCAGAATTCGTTCAATTCACGAATTGCACCGGCAGGTTCCTTTGTTGTCCAGTATATGCCAAATATGGAGTTAACACAGTTTTCATATCACACGAATCAGTAAACACAAGCAGACACGCACTTAAAAGATTTATGCCGGGTTTCTGAGGTACTTTTAACTAAGGTTAATTTATATAAAATAGTATTTGATAACTCATTCAACTTCAAAAAGACTGTTATCACGAATAAAACATGTACGAAGTTCAAAATGAAATAAATTATGTCAAATTTAGGTCGCTTCCTTGAAAAGTTCCATCTAGTGGTAAATTTTGGAACTATTTATTGGTTACATAGTTAGTAAGTAGTCTGTTGCGTGTTCAGAAACGTGTTGCGTGACAGTTAAACGAAGTTTATCTTCTCCATAACTTTAATGAAGCGATAACCATTGAGAACTTAACTGAAGCCATCAGAAACCGGGCATTAGTCGTCCAGATAATTATTACGATTTTACACGTTTTGTAGATGGCGTTCAACTGCCCTCAAGTGTGTTAAATCAAAACTCGCAGGCACAGAGTGCATGACAGCTCATAAAAATGACTGCGATTTGTTCCTATATAATTCACCCATACAGAAACATCGATTCAGAGCTATTTAAATTTAGAATACTAAAGTTCCTGTTCTGATGATTTATGAATATGAAATGGTGACGAAACAGATGGCTTAAGCCTAAACGAATAGATTTAACGGATTTGATTTTTATTATGCAGGATTGCCAGAATATAGAAGTCAATAGTAAAGAAATATACACCTTGTCAAATGCTTCGAAATGATAAGTACCCTGTTTAGTTTAGTCGATCGCTCATAAAAGCTTTGAAATAGAAGGCTTTGTACCATTCCAAATATGAAAAATATAAGTACACTTAAACTATTTCAAGAAAACGTTGCGAAACAATAATAAAAGAATGTTATGCTAAATTTAAAGATTGACCGAAAGACAATCTCAGACAGTCCTAAATATTTTTGGAAATTTATTAAAAATAACGAATCAAACCACTCTTCAATTACAAATGTGATGCACTTAGGTGATACTGCAGCTACTAGTGGTCTTCAAATTTGTGAACTATTTTCTAAATGCTTTCAAAACGTTTACGTTTCACATAACATATTGGATGTAGCAAGTAGGAATATCAATATCAATTACTCAAATTTGTCAATTAGTAACGTTTTCATTACGAAAAGGAGATTTTCAATTCCCTTTCGAAACTACATTGTAGCAAAGGGCCTTGGTCCTGAATTGCTACCGCCATTATTCTTTAAACGTTGTGCTCAATTTATGCAAGCCTTTATTTATTATTTACACAATATGTCTCTTGAGTCAGGAGTATTTCCGTCTTATTGTAAAACTGCTCATGTAAAGCCAATTCATAAACAAAGTGACGTTTGTAATTATAGACCTATTTCAATACAGTCGACTGCAGGAGGCCTACTCGCTTTCTCGAAAACGAAATTTCGTTTACGAACGAAATTAAAACGAAATTCGCATGGAACGCTACTCTTTATCATTTTCGTATACGCCAACGAATGTTCGTTTCCAAAGACAATTTTCGTGATCGATTGGAGTGAATGGCGTTATTGGATTTCTTATAATGTCAAATTCTGGTTTTTACCGTAACTTGAAATATATAATATTAAACAATACATATATTTCTTTTAAATAAAATTTTAGTGGCTAAACATTGTTTAAACATAAAATATTATAATAATATAACGAAAAACTTAGTATATTAATGAATTTTATTTTTCGTTACAACTTATCAACACACTATAAAGAACTCTTTTATCCACAGTATTAACCGACATATTTAAAAACAACCTTTCATTTATACGATGGCTATAATCAACGTATGGCAATCTTAAATATCCGTATAATACAAACGATTCTCATCCCGCCAAAAGTTTTACAAGTTTTCACCAAACTGTTCAGTGTTTACTAATATTTTATTTAATTATTGTGAGTTCCGAAATTTATCTTGACAATTCAGTAAAAAACTTTATAAGTAAGTATGAAAGTAATATTTAGTTTTTCGGCACAAAAAAAGGTTTTTAGTAATAAATTTACTTTTTATCAGTCATATTTTTCAGGTATAATGGCATAGCCTATATGTCTCGTAAAATCTGTTATATTAATGACATAATTCTATAGGTAATTATTCACAATTCATACATAAAGCCAAAATAAACAATAAACTATTAGGTACTCACTGTCTCGTAATAAGATTCCTTTCATTTTGGTTTTGAGGGAAAAATATATTTTCTTATAATACCTATCTGGTGAATTGAGGACAGTCCTAACCTCCTAACACCGTGAAACTGTTTGTTGGGCCATAGGCCCATCCATGTTTTGAGATACGAATCCTTGGTAACTACCTCGGGCATAAAAATTCAACGCTGTAAGAATCATAAAAATATGAAATGCATAATGGTAGGCATGCAATTTTTTTTACCAAGAACTACGATAAAATATCTTCCAAGTTTAATTGTGGACTCGATGGCATGAGATCTTGCCTGTGGACGCAGTAAAGGTATAATCTCTTGGCATAGTTCTTGAAATAATTCACAACTGAGTCTGTAAATACTTACAAACTCAGTATCGAGAATATTTCTTATATTAAGGCTATTTCGAAGCCGCTGCCGATTTCTTATACGGTCTAATCGTTCTTTACTGAGAGCTGACTCGATTAATAGTAATATAGACCCCATTTCGAAAATAAAAAATTGCTAACGAAAATGAAAAGGTAACATTTTTTACTTCGTCAATTTGAGGTAAGAATTCCGAACAATTAGATGTCAAACTCAAATGTTCGTTTTGTCATTTCGTGAAATAGAGTAGGTTTAGAAAATAAATATGTCAAACATTTTCGTTCGTTGAATATTCGGAACGAATGTAATTGTGGTAAAAAACGTCCGAAGTTTCGAATGAAATTTCGTTTTTCGGTGAATTAGAGTAGGCTTCCTGGTAAGATTCTTAAAGCATTTATTTAGAAGTAAATATATAATCATGACAAAAGTCTTTTGAAA